CTGCTAAGGAGCCTGCAAAGCACCTTCCCAGTGCAGCCAGCTGCCTGCAAATCCACACTAAATGAACTCAAATGCAGGTGCATAGTATTTACTGCAAAGCATGACCTGTGTGCAGCAGGGGAAGGAGTGCCTGAGCAGGAGGAGTAAATGACTATCGCAGGCTGAAAACCCACCGCAATTCATGCATCACACAAATGGTTGTGTACATTAAAGCAATGAGGACAAAGGGTATTGATTTAGCACAAGTATCAAGAGTCCCAGGTGCTAAAACCTGAAGAAATACAAACTGTGCTGGGCAGAATAACAACAAAACGAAATGATAAAAGGATATGAGTGTTTGAAAAGACGCGTAGGACGGGCTATAAATTCTAATAATCCATATTTCTCGAAAGCAGCAGCTATTGACTCAAAAACAAAAGAGCAGGCATTGTAATGTAACAAATGTCAGACGGGATAGCAGCAGGAATTCAATTTGCTCTGGCCATATATCAACTTGAAACTTAACGTAATGGCACGTAGTTAAAGCTGCACCCTCACTTAATGGCTATTACCAGTCCTGGGTGGGTTTTCCAGCAAGCATAAAGCAGTGAGTAATTGGCCCTGCTCTGCCTGCATCACTGCTAATGAAAAAACGCCCTGCTATAGCCTGGCAGCAGCAGGAGAAGGGGAAGGCAGGGGACCCAGGCAGAGGCAGGCAGCAGTAGAGCTGCCAAGAGCTTGTCCTGCCAGGATCCTGCAAGAGAGCTTCAGGAAACATCTCCGAGTCTCTGCTGACCACCATCTCCCTTGTATGAAGGGCTGGCTCTTTAAAGCAGCAGCCCAACACCCCTGTTAGCCTCTTGTGTGAATAGGATTCAGGTCCACTGGAAGAAGAAGAGGAGAAACCCTGGATGGTTACACCTCATCCAGCTCCTAAGCATGCACTATTTATTACTACTCGGGCAGCGGCTCTGCAGTCAGCCAATTAAGGCTATTGTAATTACTTCTCTTCAGCGACTGCAAACGGCCGAGTTAAACGACAGATTTCCCGTTCAACAGTTACTGCTGCTGCTGAAGTGAAGAAGCAGAAGTGTGTGCATTGCTGAGAATATGCTCTGACCATATGTTAGAGGCAAGAGATGCTCACCGAATGGATGGAAGAGGCGGTGGCAGGGGAGGAGGGAGGAGGCCTGGATGTGGGACAGGAACCTTTGCAGCAATGAAGCATCCAAAGCAATCAAGGAAGGGCAAAGATGTAAAGCAGTCCTCATAACTTTACTGCAGATGGGTAGGGGCATTCCCAACAGGCACACGGTAGTTTCTACCAAGAGCAAAGCTTGCAAAATGTCACTCCATATTTGATGCAGTTTTGGAGCAACCAGAAATAAGATCAGCCCCTGGGAGAAGCTCTCAGGTCTGTCATTGAGCCCAGCATGGTGGGAGAGGACTCAGGGAGGTGGCACAGCCAGTCTGGATTGTGCCACGCTGCCCCAAGACATCAGCTGGGTCTCCATGCAGACAGGCTGAGCTGAGCAGATTGTGACTCTGGTTCTCAGGGTCCCCAGCCACGCTCCCCAGGGAAGGAGGTGCTCACATTGCTGACAGCTTTCCTGCATCCATTCATGGGTGAGGACACATCCTGGCCATGACACCACAGAGAAAAGGTCAGGAGCCCAACTCTCACGCTTAGCACAGTGCTTGGTGTCAGGCTCAGATGGGAGGGAGGAAGCAGATTCTAGGGCTGATCAAAAAGGCAACAAATCCTTATGGAGCATAGGAAGCTGAGTGTGCCCGTGGGAATCAGACCTTACATGTGAGAAAGCAAAAGGGGGAGTGAGTTTGCACAAACCCACAGCCCAGATTAAATCTTGTCTTTGAACCCTGAGTTCGAGCAACAGTATCTGTTTTAATGCCTACAGGCCTTGCTTCCCTCAGCAATCTCAGCCATCACTCTCCTGTGACTGACAACTCTAGGAATGAATCTCTTTTGAAGCTGACAAAACTCACTCTGAACTGATTTCCTCTGGAGCTCTATTTATCTGAGGCTGACACTGAGGAAAGCTGCTCGGAAGCAATCAGAGCTGATAGCAGCCACGTCTGTTTACCCCCCAGACCTGCACTGATGCAGCAACAGCCACCAAGCACTGCCAAGGCCAGCCTTGGCAAGAGCAGCGCATGCCAGGAAGCAGAGAGCTTCCTGTTCCCCAGGTCCCTTCCCCTCTGCAGGCCAACACGCTGTGGGCACAGCCTCAAGGGCACCCAGGGCAGGCAGCCTGGCAGAGGGGGACCCAGCTTGACTCACAACACAGCAGTTGAAAATATTCCTGGCGTCTGTTTTACAGTGCCATAAAGATTTTATGCACTGCGTTTAGCCTTGTGTCTCTGCATTCATCGCCTTAAATGCCGAGCATTTTACTTTAATGCCATGGTGGCTACAAGCAGGAATACTTAACTTCAATAAATAAGAAGTAATCACATTTTCCCAGTGAATGGATTGAAAATGGCCACTGGGAGAGTTCGCCTTCTGAAGTTCAAGGCCTGGGGCTGTCGCTGGGGGTTTCCAGCAAACTGCAAACACTGTGGAGCATCTCCAGAAAAAAAAAAAAAGTATAAATAATAAAGCATATGCATCTTTTAATTGAGAAACTGGTCTGTAGCTGGGGCACAGCATGCTTGTGCCCAAAAGCCAGCATTAAACATTCGAATTTAGGCAATGGAGGGAAAGAGGGCCAGAAGCAGATGGACTCAAACTCTATTGCATTTGTGAGTAAAATCTACTGGAAAAGCACATTAGCGTTCCTTGGGAACTAGAGCATTTCACAGAGGAACACACACACAGAATAGGAGCTTCTCAAGTGAGTCCAGATTACTCCAACAGACTGGCAGGCACAGCTTCTGCAGGTCTCTAACTAACTTTATCCAGGCTTTAGATGCACCTCTTTCATCCACCTGGAAGCTCAGGCAACACAATCAGCTGAACACCTCTGGGTGCAATGCTCCTCCCTTGAGGCAGGAGCAGGACCAGCTTACAAAGCCACACTTCAGCTTGCAATCTAGATGTTCATTGTCAGGAAGAGCTCATTGTCTCATGAGATAACAGCTTCACTGTGGCACACAACCAGAGTTTTACCAGGAAAGGAATGCAGAGTAGGTTAGCAGTGTATTAACCAAGTATATCTGAGATGATCTTCCTTAAGAAGACTTGATCAAGAAGGTAAAAACCTAACCAAACATCTCCTGACAATGTCAGAACACCTTGACTCTTCAATAGGTTCACGTATGGTAACTGTATCACACCTCCTCTCTCCAAACATGTTTCCCTCCTCTCCCTGCCTCTCATCCAAAAGACAAGAACAGGGTGAGTAGAGATGATGCCTAGGAGAAGGCAACACTGGTCCCTGCTGGAGACATTCTACTTGCAGTTCCCAGATTACTAGACTCCAAAACCACATGAAGGTTCTTGAAGCTTTAAACTATCAGCTTCACTAAATCATTCCTGAATTATTTACTGTGAGACTGTAGAAGAAGAAACTGAGATGCTGGTTGGCTTGCAGCTGTGCTCTGCAGCTCACCCATGGCACCTATTCCCAGCCGTAGGAGACACCAGGAATTAGGATGTGGAGATACAAGACACAAAGCTCATTGCTTTCTCCACCTCACTCTCATTACAGCAAAATGACAACATCCAGTTTTGTCCCGTGACTGGTGGTCCACCAGCAAACACGACAAGACTTTCATTTTCCTGCAGCAATCAAGAGATCTTCAGCAGACCCCTGCTCAGTTCTCCTCAACTCTACGTGATGAACCACAAGGTCTCTCACTGCAGCTTGCACAACATCACCCAGAATACCTTGCGTGCCTCCCTTTGAAGCTGCGACCTGATTACCATAAGCAAGGCACTGCAGATGTACCTCTGCAAGCCCAGAAGCACCAGGGGAAATGAATATATTAGTATTTATCATATTAATGCAGATCAAGCTGGGTATTTGTTCTGACATTTCAATAATAGCTTTTTCTATTTTTTTTTTTTTTTTTTAGGCAGCAGCTTGTATTTTCTTCTGCTTTAAATAATTCATTGTTACATTAAACTTATTTTAAACTGGGGCCTTTTTTTCATCAAACCAAAACTTTATTTGGATGGCCAAAGGGGAGAAAAAGTATAAATGAAAACTCTCACTTTTCTCTCCTCCCTTCTTTCATTCCCTCTCTTTTTTCTCTCTTGTTAAAATCTCTTAATCAAAGTGACAATCTGTCTTTCCCAGGAAGGAAGCTGGTGCCTTTGAACAGTGCTGCTCCAATAGCTCTCTGCTTTGATGTGGGATTTAACTTCTGCCTTTAGCAATCTCAAGTGCCTGTGTATGCATGCGCTGTGTGTATACGTGTACCCATGTGTGCTTCTGTACGTGTCACTGCTGCACATACACATCCTAACCCAGCCCCAAAAAAGAGGAAGGGAAGGGAAAGACAGAAAATGCCATGACTACACGTGGCAGTGATGTGATCCCTGCGGAGATGCTGTTGAGCACAGTTCAGAAGGATCCTTGTTCTAAGCCTTTTCCCACACAATTTTTCAGTGACATCTTCAAGCCCTTCCATCAGCTGTTAACTTCAGCAAACACAGAGCAGCCTGTTACAAGAGACTGACACCCTATAGAAGGGTAGGTATGTGCTGGACCCTGTTCTTACTGTCTGAGGTCCTTCTGGACAATGGCTACAGAAGGTATTCACATCCAGCATCCCCCTGTGTGCTGAGACACAGTATGCAACTGCAGTTATTTGACTGTAGGCTGTCCCTATTCTCATCGTACTCTCTCTCCTGCTTTGACAACTGTTTCTGTCTTCCTTTCCTTTAGCATTCCTGACCTCAGTACTGGCTCTGGGGAATAACAAGGTCTTTATCTTGTTACTCCACTCTGAGGTACAGCACAGCTTTGTCTGGTACTGCACCGGGATGAGCTTTGATCACAGGAAACACAAACTGAGGCTTGAGCCAATGGACTCCCTTAAAAGGTTGAGCTCACCTTGCTCTCCATGGGATCCAGACAGCATCTTCTTTCCATCAGCACGGGCTGCTGCCCATTGCAGTCTGGGTGCCCCAGTGCATGGTTTGTTGAAGGAAGGACATCGCAGAAGCTGAGAACAAAGCAGAGCTATTGACATCTTCCCATTTCACAGCCAGAAAGTTTCCTCCCTACCACATAAGAGAAGCACAGAGTGCTGCTACGCTATGATTTTACTGTGGTTATTTATCAAGCAATTCCCCAAGACCTCCACTCCTTTTCTAGTAAGTGCCTTCTGGGATTTCACCTTCCCAATCAGTACTGAGACCTTTCTCATCCTTCAGAAAAGTTTGTGGTCTAAGCAAATCAGATCTTTTGGTTTTGTGCACACTGGAGATTTTACAGGTGCTTCTACTTACAGAGAGTCTTCCCCAGTGGTTTCCTCAAGCAGCAGACCAAATGTATAAACACTTTACAAAATAATGAACATCATGAACCTCAGAACTACAAATCTCTAAAGCAACTCTCAGTTAGAAAGAACAAAACCTCAACAAAAACAGAATCCAGTTGTGCCTCAAGTTTCCTCTGCCAGAAGTCACTCTTCAGAATAAAGCTGGTGTCCTCTCATACTGGCCCGCTATAAAGACTGATTTTCTTCTTTTTGCAAGGCATGCAATGAACTTCAGGTTTTCCCCACTGATCTTTTGTTTTAAAACCACATGTGCAAATACATACCAATAAACATTTACACAGAAATAGCAGTGTGGTTTTTTTTTTTTTTCCCTCTGGTTTTGTCTTGCATGGTTTATTTCCTGTGTGTGTCCTCCACTTCTTCCAAAGGTTACTGAAAAGTGTTGGGAATCTGACTCACGTTTCTACAAGCTCTGGGTAACATGCTGGGAAACAAAGCCAATTTTCTCCCTACCTTCTCTAAAACATCTGATGAGCCAGTGCGTGGGACAAACAAGGATGATCCAAGTCTTTCTCCACTGCACCGCTGGGGAAACGCTCTGCTTGTGCTGACCAAAGAGGGAGATACCACAAGAGATTCATCCAATTTCCAACGTCTGCACTGCAAGCAGTAGATTGTAATCAGTCAGAAAATAAGGACAGCCATAAGGTAGGACACAGTACTTCAAACAGCGTGGGACTTCAAGCATCAGACTGTCTGAACAACTGCTGTCCCACATTCTTTTTTGACTGAGACATTCTCTGGCCAACCTGATCTACGCTGCACAGACAACTGCTTCATCCCTCCCTGTTTTGAGGACCTTTCTGCCCTCCCGTGGCATTGTCTCAATAACTAAATACTGACTCCAGGACCTTCTCCCCACTCCTGCAGGTCCCTTCACCAGGTATGTTTCCATAAATCCTCCAGTAGGCCAAGCCATGGTTTATATATGCTTTCTGTGGAGCAGTGAGAGAGCGTGACAGCTGTCACTTAAAACAAGAAAGCCTTGAATCCAGTGATAGGCTGCCTATATCCAGGGGCTGGGGGAGAAAGACTCGGGATAAATTTGAGGTAGAGTGGAGCAATCTGGAGAATCCGGAGTCCAGCTCTGTGTCACCTGGTGTACACACACGTCTGGAGCCTGCATATTGTGGCTTCAGTGTGTATACTCAAATAAAAACCAGGAATATAGTCTGGCTAAAGAACCCCTAGGTCATTTCAAACAATCAAGTGAAGTAAAACAATGGGCTAAGCATAGGGCACTGCACATAGCCACCTGAGCCCAAAGCTCCCTCCCTCCCTGTCTGTGATGGTGGCATTGCATAAACCTGAGCCTCTTGCTGTCTGCAGTCACTGTGCTGTGCTCACCCTTGCTTTGCATTCTGCATCTCCCTCCTGAGTTTTCCCACCAGCTTAATAGAGTGTGCACTGGAGAAAGTTCCCCCCGGCCCCTACCCTCATGCATACCCAATCAGGTCTTCTGATTATGCAAATTAAATACAGTAACATCACCCCCTTGCACCTCTACCCCGCCCTATTCCAGCACAAAAAGGAGAAAAAAGTAACAAACCCTCCATTCATAACCAGAAACATTAATTATATGTAATGATGGGCAGTCAACTCCCCGAAGCGTCTGCATAATTACTAATGCTAATGGATTCAGAGTGCCTCTCTCCTCCTCATGGAGGAAATTTAATTGGAAAACGCATAAAAGCGGGAGGAGGGTGCTCTGAGCAGCCTGAAGTGGCACAGGCAAAGCAGAGGAGCTCTCTGGAAATGAAGGATGGAACCTGGTCACTCCCTGTCGGCTCACGTGGCCAACCTACTGCTTCCTCCTCACCTGGTCCAGCATCACTACTGTTTCTGGAGACAGGCACTGGAGGGATCAAGGGACAGGAGTGAAGAGCGTTCCAGTTAGCTGCTTGAACCCCAGGGGGATTATAAAATCAGACTTAATGAAATCAGGAAATGCTCAACTAGATGCCTCAAAGACAGCAAGTAATGTATGCTCCTTTCCTTGGCAGTCAGACTCCTTGGGGCCTCTCACCCCACACATTTCCAACAGCTGTCTCTCCATTCCCTGTCTGCAGGTAGCTGCTCAGCTGCTCTAAGGCAGACTTCCCTTCTTTCCCTCCACCTCTGCCAGTTACGTTGCCACCAGGCTCCGCTCCCCTTCCCCAATAGAAACGGCCTCAAAGCAAACAGGGCTGGTTGCAGCACCACAGCAAGGATCTCACATGTCCTCTGTAGCCTTGGGTGAATGTCTTCTCTTCTGTCAACCTAATGCTGGCTAAAGGAGGTGGCGGACCTCCATCTGATCCAGGCCCCCTCCCACTGCCCCAGGTCAGCATTTCTCTATGGTCAACATTTTCTAACATTTTCTAAGGGGTCAACAAGAGGCTGCCTGTGAGTTTTATCTTCACTTCTTTCACCTATTCCCCCTTTTTGCTCCCCATCCCTCTAGAGCTTTTACCCAGTCTGGGCGCGCATCCTGCAGACAGCACTTGTGAGGTCAGCGATGCTCCTTCCACCCCTCTGCCTGAGGCCCAGGTTCCTGAATTGAGATAAGTTTCATCCTGCACTGAGAGCAGCTGGTGAGGCAGCAGATGGCTGGGAATCTGTAAAAAAAAAAAAAAAAAAAAAAAGAGAAAAAACTGGGGCTGTGACAGCAGCATTTTTATTGTTCACTCATTCCCACTGCTGCCAGACTCTGAATGCATATCAAACAGGGTACATGCCCTTGCAAACACTACCAGCAGACAACTGTGCAAAGTGGTGACAAAGCCACGCCAAGCTCCCCAGCCAAGCTCACCTCGTGCCCAGAGAGCACCTTGGCACCACTAAGAGACTCCTGTAGTGCAGTGCAGGGAGAAGTGGCCCCTCCAGCCTGCCCTTCCCCTCCAGCCTGCCCCTCTGCATCTGCCAGCAGCAGCCCAGCATCCAGTGGGACTGGACACTGCTCTTTTTCAAACTGTGCCTATAAAGCACACCTTCGGCAGAGCATAAATAATAAATAACAGCAATAATATGGTCCCCTGAGCAAAGCAACATTCCATCAGCAAGAAAATCATCCTGTCTTTCCTTCTTAACATTCCAGTAGGTGCCCACTGCAGCCCCCTGCTCCGGGAGGGGTTTGCACATCTGCTTTTCATTGCAACCAGTGGAGAATTCAGGGGAGGTCTCAGCTGTGCAACCTCCTACTGTTGTGAGAAGAGTTTGGTTCACTTTTCATACTTGTGGGTGGGAGGGAGCAGAGCCAGGCACAATATCGCTGTGGCGATGAATCGTGCCCTTCCTGACTCCTGACTTGCAGAAGCAGCAGCTGCTCTGGGCCTGGGCCTCCATTTTAAATGCTGCCAACAGCACAGAAATCCAACTGACATGCTTCAGAAACAGTGCCTTAGGCAAGGCCGGGTGGAAAAGGTTTCAAACATCCTTGTCCACTTCTGCCTGTTCACCAGGGACCTCCTGCAGGAGCCGCAGAGATCAGGGGATGCTGCATGTTTGCAGCACCTCCACAACACAGCCGAGCAAAGCCCACGGGAGCTGAAGTACCAGTACATGCCTGGGCATTTCTTACTCACGTTTGTTGGAGTGACTGATTCCACCTCAGAGCATTGTTTGAGCTGTTTGACTTTGTAATAAGCAATTCTGAATTTTACCAGTAGTCCCTGTTTGCTGTGGACTCCAAAAACCAGGGTGTAAACCACTTCCTGTGGGGGATTTCTAAAGTTCTTTGCCTACCGTTGGATTTGTTTGGTGCTAATGATGGCACATATGGGCGTATAGAAGCTTTGCCTGCATCACAAGCACTTTGAAATCAGCCCTGGTGCACGTTTGATCCATTTTCCAATGCTGCAGAAGCACACACAGTACTAGGCATACTTTCACTCCCTCCAACTAATTCCAAAGCAGCGGGTAGCTCAGCATCCCTGCTTCTTGAAAATGGCCTTTTTTCATTCGTTTATAACTACAGTAAAGAGAAGGTTGAATCAAAGTAAATACGGGAAAAAAAAGTGGGGGGTTAGTCAAGAGTTCAAACTGAACAAATCTGAACTTGTAATAAAAAATTACCCACGCGTGTCTAATGAGAAAGGGAGAAACATTTTCTTGATCTTGTGCTAATCCCACAGCAGCCCACAGGCTGGAGAGGAAAGCAATGAGGGCAGTTTGGTGTGACTTCACCCCAGAGCTCTGTTCTTGCTTTCTAGCCCCATTGCCCTGCAGCTCCTCCGAGCTCACCTGGGCTGGGTGTGGGGGAGAGAGGAGCTGGAAGGTTTCCTTCAGAGAAAGCAAGTGCTCTCTCTCCAGGCCTGCAGTGAGGTGACAGCTTGAGAATGGAGGATATCACTGAGTGAGAGCTGGAGGACTGGAAGTGACTGAGAAAGGCACTTCAGATACCCACTTCCCTGAGGCAGGCTGTAGCAACTCCGGGCAGCTGTGGAAAGACTGCTTCACCTCCCCAGACTGACTTCTTATTCGAGGTGGAGTGCTGATAAGTGATTTCAAGCAGCAGCACTTCACACTTCTGCAGCATCTTCAAGAGCAATGGACCCTAAGAGTCTTTAGAAATTTTAGATGGAAAGGGTCTCAACTGCTGCTAGGATCCAAAAGACAAGCGGACAGGCTACAGCCACTTGTACAAGAGAAGCTCACCTAGAATATTGGATTTTCTGAGCCTGCTGATCTCTGCAGATGACGCCTCCCTATACTCATCGTGGCCTAGTTTCTGACTATGCAAGTCCCAGCGTCTGCAGGTTGCAGACCCACCGACCAGGATGACATCTGAAATCAAAACCAACACCAGCAGCTATTTCCTTGTGTTCTCCTGCTCTGGTAAGAACCCCAGTGTCAGTGGCAGCTTCTTAGCAATAGCTCAAGGTGCAGGAGACAATGCGGGAGATTCCGTATTTTGCAAGATGGCTGGATACGATTTTGCATTGAAGGGAGCTGTAATTGTAAGCAAACTCACAACAGGGTGTGCAGAAAATGTTTCTCGGTGGGACCTGACAGTCTGCCATGAGCAAGGCAGCATGCAAACAGGCACTGGAGGACCGCTACAGAACGGCTTCGAAGAACATTTCTGAAAATGGTTATTGGATGGAAATGCAGAAAGTAACAAAGTGGCTCCTGTGAAACCGCAGCGGCACAGAACAGCGCTGCTCAGAGTTGTCTGCACAGATCTCTTGAATCAGTGGCAAATTAAATAACGCTGCTTCTACGAGATTAACCCATAGCTAAAACGCTGCATCTTCATCAGGCAAAATCTTTGCTTATTGACAAAAATATATTAACTTCTTTTTCAGTACAGGAAACAAAGACGTTCTGGAGAAGGACAATTTTATTTGTTGTCTCCGATGCTACAAATTTTGGAAATATCAAAATATTCAATAATCATTTTCAGCTACAACGTTGAAAAGGAAACAGCCCGTCGTCTTCTTCATTACTTGGAAAGCAGCACTGAAAATTTCATTTGGAGTATTTTCAAAAGTTAAAGATTTACTGTAATGAAATTATTTAAACATTGGCAAAGTGTCTCCACTTGTAATTGGTAATGTTTATAAGCATTTGTATGGGGAGTTATATTCCCCCAGGCTGATGGAACACAAGAATAACTCATATGGCAAGTATGCTTCTGGATGCACCGTCCCTTCATCAAGAAGGCTGCATTCCTGAGCTTTAAACCTTTTGGCCTAATCTTTCCAGCATTCCCACAGAGCATTTCTATAGACTACGTCTGAAAAGATTTTTCTTCATGTTCATAGAATTGTGGTGTGGGTTTGGCACAGGAAAAGAGGATGGGGTCATTCTGCAGCAATTTTTAAGCTCTTTCAGGAAAATCAGCACTAGGAGGCACTTTGAGAACTCCACGCCACTTATGGGCCTGCCACAGCGTGCTAAAAGCTTTTTAATGGCACGGCTTTAAAATTAAAACAATGGCAAAAGACATTAATTGAAAGGTAAGTTACAAAGGGGAGCTAAAGACAAATTATTTGGCCATAAATGCAACTTTAAACTAAGAAAACATTGTGTCCAGAAAAAAAAAAAAATAAAAAATGAAAAGGAATTGTATTCAGCAGTATGCATTAGCTCTCAAATGTCTCCATTCACATCGCAATTAACTAAACTGCCTTAATCCAATCCAGCCGCTGGAAAAAAACAACACTGTTGACTTCTCAGGAAACCATGACAATTACTCAAAGGCTACAATTTGTCAAAAAGCCGTGTGGAGCTGGACCCTGACTGCAGCATGAACTGAGAGACTCAATAATGGGCACATTGAGTGCAGAATTCAGCAGTCCTACAGTCAAAACTGGCCAAAGCTGTTAAAATTCTGAGTCTCAATCCTTCTACCCTGTGGCACACATCACCTTCCTTCCTTCCTTTCACAGACATAGGAATAATATTTTCCTTGAGAAACAGACTGCAGAAATACCAACTCTGAGTTTCAAGTTAAAGTCAATTTCAATTATACATGCAAAGTGTTTTATGAAATTATTCTAAAAAACACAGACACATTGGAATGCATTGAAACAGCTAATAATTATTACAGTTTAGACATAAATTGACTCTTAGGGAAATGGAATTTTGTATTTGCAAGCAACGGAAGAGCAGACTGGAAATGCTAAGGAAAAGAGCAGTTCTTTAAAATGGCCTCTAAAGCAATCAGCTAATGAGGTGGTTGTGCTAATTCTCGAAGATCAGTACCTTGATTCCAGGAAATGATGATGGAAACTAATGTAAGGCATTCCTGCAGCCAAACACAAAGGTAGGGGACCACTCCACAGCACAGGTTGTCCCTGCACAAGAGAAGCCATTTCCTTGCCCTCAGGTGTGGCAGAGACGCAGCCCATGCAACCTCCCTGACCTTGCAAAAGGGTCTTAGAGGAAGGATCTTCACCTTTCTCCAGTCCTCCAAGGGTCATTCTGACAGAAGGGAGCTCTGTAGGATAGTTACTTCTCCTGGTGGATACTACATCACAGTCTTTTTCTTATTATTTTAAATGTGTATTTTGTAACAACACTTTAAAATGTTTGCTTTTGTACAGCTTGAGGTTCTTAGCTTACCTGCTTCTGAGCATCAAGACCCACACAGCTAGGCACAGCCATCGTGGGACTGCACTCTTCATCAACCCAACAGCAGCTTGACCACCATCTCTTGAATGTGCAAGTTTTACCCTGCAGTCACCAGCCCTGGAGGTGTTCAAGAAATGTGCAGATGTGGAACTGAGGGACGTGGCTGGGGGCACGGTGGGGACAGCTGGAGAGTTGGACTAGATGATCCTTAGTGGTCTCTTCCAACCTTAATGATTGCATGATTCTGTTCCGGCAGCACAGTCAAGGAATAGTGAACACTTCCATAAGAACACCAACAGTTCCTGCCACCTTGTTGAGAGCTCTGTCCTTGAACTGCACCGAGACGTGCATCCCAGGTGAGCACGCATCTTGTGCACGTGTAGCTGCTGGTGCCACTCATGCATTTGCTTCAGCTCCTGAAGCTCCTCACAGATGTGCTTCAAACAGGAGGGCACATGCAAATCCAGTATGCGGCCCAGAACTGCCCCCAGACCCATGTGTGCACAGGCAGCCTCCTCAAAATGCCCTCCTCAGCCAGGAACCTGGGTTAGATGCTTGAATAAAACATAGAAGATCTGTATTCCAGTCATGATTTCACCACAGACTCTGTGTGTGACCTTCGGCAGGTCATTTAAGCGCTCTGTAAAAATAAGACTGATAACACTTCCACTATCTGCCTTGCCTATTTAGACCTTAAGCTCCTCAGGCAGAGGCTGCCTCGTACATGCATCGAGTCTGCAGCAGTTGGGGCCCCTAATAACTACTGTGATGAAGGTAATTATTAACAGGAACAATGCGAGCAGCACTGGCAGGGATAGAGTTGCTCTGTCTCCAAAAACACTGCAAAAGGAAAATAATAGAGAGCAGAAAGTTGTGGTCGAGCAGAACAGGGATATTATCAAACGTAAAAAATATTTTTGAGCTCTGTGATCAAACTGGAAGGCAGGCTTAGGGCCGGAACGAAAGGAATCACATTATGACCTGCTTGCACAGCCTGACAGCACAGCCTCGTGCGGAATGCACCAAGGCTTTTCCTTTCCATTATGCTTAGGTGCTGCAGTGGCAGCTCATTTTTCCTCCTTTTCATAAATGAAAATGTAAATGACCAGCAGTGAGGAAAGTCAAACTCTTGCAGGGGGGCTGCTCCCATGTTTTAGCAGGGCGCTAGGCATTGTGATTTGTCTGTTTGCCTGTTCTCGTTATCTTTTAATGTTAAAGACTTATGGAGACCGTATTAAAAAAACCTGGTGTAGAATGACTATTTTAATAGAGCTGAAATGCACCTCTGAGAATAGTTTTGCTTTGCTTCTGCCTACGAGCTGAGAAAGACGCTGTAACGCCAATGCTGAGGTTTGCTGAAAAAATCTTTCCTGTTCCTGGTTCTCTGTTTCTTCTCCCATCTTTTGGCCTTTTGAACAACAGCACAAAGAGACCTAGGGGCCATGGTCACAGGGTCCCAAGCAGCAGCACTTACCAGCTATAAATGACCATGTAATACAGCTGCTCCAGCTCATTTCAGGCTGCTTCTCCAGTGAGCTCTGCCTGTGGGCTCAGAAGCTGCTTAAAGGGTACAGCCCCAGTACAGGCACTGGGAGCCTGACAGTGATTAGGTATGCTCTGCTTAAAAGGGAGGTGCAGGGAGGAGGGAGAAGCACGGCTGTATTTTTATACCCTTCCTTATTGAGTTCAAAATGGAACCTGAGACCTTTGGGCAGGATTTTGCTTTGCTGATTTCATTTTGGCTCCTGCTTGTTGGTGTGGTTTTGTTGCTTGTTGGTGGTGGTTTTTCTTCGTTTTGTTTCTTCTATTAGAAATTCAGTTCTTGTCTCGCCTGCTTTCTCCTGGAAAATTCTGTGGATGGATGGTGAACTAATAGGTTTAGGATATCAGAGGAGCCAATAGATTGAAAGAGTTCTGCAAATCACAAATAAACCTTTTTATCTAAAAAGAGGCATTTGCTGAAAGGGTACCACAAAGATGAATTCTAACCTAACAAATGTTCAGGCCAGCCTTTGCATAGCACGAGGTGCCGAATGCTTAGAAAATTTGCTTCACAGCCCACCTCAAAATGCTGAGACAAGTGCAAAACCCATACACACACTTACATGCACACACAGAATGGTTTTTACAAGAAGCAAGCAGCTTTCCTGTGAATTCCTCTGTTCTTTATACTGGTTTTGGACAGACAGCACCTGATTCCACCACTGCATCGCTGGCTAAGAGCAGCTGATAACCAGCCTCTTAGGTACTGAAGCCAGAAATGATGACTGAGATCACTTACACCACATTCACCTTTTTATACACAGACACACATGTATGTATGTTGCTTATGCCACAACTCCTTTCCGTTGTCACCACACTGCTACAGCAGTGCTGGCAATGGGACTTCATTACCACTTGTGTCCTTCAGCCCCTAAACCTTGTATAATATAAATAAGTATGAAAGAGTAAATCATTTCTACCTGATTCTGAAGGCTCAGGCAAACCTGCCACCTTCAAGTTTCCTGAGCAGCCATTTCCATGTGCAGAGCATGCAGATGAGGGAAGCTGCTTCCTTTCAAAGCCTAAAACCTGATCAGCTCTAAGGGAAAGTAAAAATACCACCAGCCCAGAAGTGGCCCAGTCGCCAGCTGTGTGACAGAATTGATCCGTCTCACATTTCTTCCTGCCTTCTTCATAAAGATCTTTCTGCAGACCAGCTCCTGCCCAGAACCGAGATGAACACCTGCAGGTTGGAATTCCTTCTGAGCTTCACAGAGGTGACAGTGCTCTTTCAGTGCCTTTCTGGGCTCTGTGATTGAGGAATGCTGTACCCCAATGGTACTCAGGCACAAGCATCTGTACAGAAAATTCATTAAGTCAATTGTAAAACTGAAACTCAATATCATGAAAATCTGTGCAGGCCTAAAGTTGAGAACGATCCCCAACGCTCTCCTGAATCAGGGCCAGGATAAGCAAAGAGCAGAGGAAAGGGAATTATTTCAGCTTTGTTCCCTTCTGGATGCTCCATATGCTACAGCCAGCTGTTCTGGGTTTGTTCATACTCACTACAGCGGGCACGCGTGACAGAATCTTACCTCCCTTCAGTGTGACTCAATCATATCGGGTCTCAAATGGTTTGCCCAAACCTCTGATGCAGTTTGTGTTCCCCCTCCCCGACTATATTTTCCCTAGTCTAAGTCTAATGGCTTTAACGACACACATCCTGAGAAGAAGAGGAAGGGTAGGTGGCTGTTCTCTCAGTCCATTCAGAGTATCTTCCCTTCCCTACTGCTCATCTGCCATCTTGTAATCATCTCAGCAAGCAGAGGGAATATGGCTCACTAAAAGGACATGCAAAACTGTTTTGAGGGTCGATGCCACAGCCAAGGGTCCCCTAAAGAAAAAACATTTTCCTTTTAGGACACGGCAGCAAAGCCCACCAGGCTATGCTGGCTCCATCAGCTCCTCTGCTCACATCACACAAACTGCACGTGCAGTGCTGGAGCTGCTGGAAGGCAGCTGCCAGAAACCACAGCAGCTTCACCTCTCCCCATGTCCTGAAAGGGCGTAAGGCAGGGTTCCTGCAGCACATCCTTGGGTTTAGAGACTCAGTGATCACAGAGCCTGACGAGCTGTACTGCCACCCAGTCAGCTCTGGCCCCACCACCCACACGAGGTCCCTGTCCCCTTTGAGTCTCCTGGCTGCCAGCTCCCTGTTCCCCTGGGAACAGAGCCCTGAGCACGGTGATAATTCAGCATAAGCTGTTCACAGAGAGCATTGCACAGCACAGGGCTAAATCCACAACTCCTGGTTCAGGAGGATCTTTGGCACACAAGAGGCAGCAGCCTGCACATCCCAGAATCAGACCTCATTTATTCTCTGTGCCCCCCCAAGCTGCTGGGCAAAGTCTTTGGGATTTAGCATTATCATGCTTAACAAAAGTTGCAGCGATGCTTGCCCACAGCAGGTCTGAAATGTTACGACAAGAAGATTTGGCTGCTCTCCTGCTGCTGTCCCTAACCATCACATCTCCCAAAGACCCGCAGCCTTCTCTGAGCTTTTCTTTTCTTATTACTTTCACCCATTCAAACAGCAGAAATCCTTCTCCATCATTTTTTTCCAGCAGATCTCTTTTCCACTGGCTCAGAGTGGCTCCTCCCACCGTTCCCCCACATGTTGTCTCTCAGCTTTAATCAAACTCACTTCCATGTCTCCTATTTGATTAGCAAAGTGCTGTCTGGCCCTCGGCCACCCTCCGAGCTGGCACGAGCAGGTGCAGCTCTGACAAAATGGCATCAGTCTGTGTGCACCCTGAATTGGACTCGTCTCTCTGACAGAGGCTGCTTGCTCCCAACTATTTCCGAAAGTACAGTCTCATGGCTTGCACATGTGACCAACACAGGAGAAATGGAGTCAGCTCTTGCCTCTCTAATGCACTCCTAGAATCACCCGATGCATAAGACACCTCATCCTACATTTCTCCTACCTCTTTGACACTTAAATGTAGTCCTTTCAGTTTGGATGTCAGCACTGTAGGTCAGAGAAAGCAATGAGCCTGCTGAGTGCTGCTGTGCTATCAGAACCTGTATTGACTTTTCTCGCTGCTACCAAAGTGCTCTGCTGTTCAGGTGCTCTCTTGGCTGTTGTCCCATTGCAAGGCTCTCCCGTTCAGAGTTCCCTTCAGCAAAGAAAAAAAAAAAAAGAAAGCATTAAACATGGTGACAGAGCCTGTCAAACATACAACCAGTGTCTGGCCTTCCTGCACTGATGCTGCTGTAGCACCACACAGGTGGTGAAGGCTACCTGCACCTGGTGTAGAGAGCATCTATGATCACACTTGCACGTAACTTCAGCCCTATGTGAAGGTGAAAAAGAAATCAGCTCTCTTTCTTAGCCTTACTTTTCCCGGGCCCTTTGCAGAAATGTCCATCTGCAGATCCAACCTCAGCACACTCTCCAAGTCCTGGAGCACGGGCAGGTGCAAACTGGAGCCTTTTTATAAAGAAAGATTTGTGCCAGGAGTATTGAAAACGTTTCTAAGCTACAGGCAATATTGTGCTGACACACACTTCCACTGAGACCCAGTTTTCCAATGCATCAATGGAATCTGCCCAGTGACCCCCAGCTCTTTGATTTAATGGGTTTGCTTTAAGAGTGAAACCTTGTGATTTAGACACCAGCGAGACGAGAGCAGTGGAACTCTTTGCTTCAGGGTGCTGGATGCTATCAATTCTCCTAAGCCAAAGAAGTGACTGCACAAATTCAAGGAAGGAAACTCCAAAGCTATGGAATATAATGAAATTATTCTTGGCTAAGGAAGTGAAAAACCTCTGGAGGTGGAGAGCGCACACGAAGGAGGTGCCACAACATGCTTGCCTCGCATCTGCCTTCTTCCTTAGGCACCCACCATTTGTCACTGAGGGAGAAAGAATACTTGGCCAGGTATACACTTGATCTCACACAGCACAGCTGCTCTTACACAGCTAACTCAAACAAGGCACAAATTCACCTGCATCTCTAAACCACTCACACTACTGCCTGCTGCATCTGCCAGCCATCGCACCGCACCAGGAGCTGCAGCCAAGAGCCACGGGGTCACAGTGAATCATTTGACTCTTAGCACATATCAAAAAGGGCTCCTATCTAGGCATGGAGTCCTTCATTCACCTCCATTTCCTTAAACACCCAAGAGAGTACAGGAGGACAGCCACCCCAAACTCCTTTATGAACCAGTGAGAGAGGGCCTGGCCAGAAGGTGGTTGGCCATAAAAGAGCCCCAGCTCTTGTTTTCCCCCAGTGCGGTCACTGTGTGCTGATCGACCATGACCCCATCACCAGCACACACAGCTCTGCTCACAGCTTATTTGTATTCCTCAGCGTGGACAGGATCAACCCAAACTTCAGCATGTGCACATGCAGAGAACAATCTGCACCTCATCGCTCAGCACAAGATGAATGCACTTCCAGAGCCTAAGTCTTGCCTGGAAAACATATGGAAGAATCAGAAGACGGTGTCTCTGTGAGCACTGTGAGAACATGTGTTCTATCACTTTCCTGTGTCCCCTGTCACTGTGGATACATCCTCTCAGAGCAGCTCCTGCATTCGTCCACAGATGACCGGAGTCTCACTGCAATGGCAGAGAGAAGCGTGCAGGAGGAGGCCTCCTAAGGTCACAGTAGAGAGAACATCCACAGCTGCTGCCCCAGCAGCTGTCAGGCTATGCCACAAAGCCTTTGCTGAGGAGGTCTCCAGGAAAAGAAAGGGAATGACTGAGCATAGGGACTGCGTATGGGCAGCACGCACTGAGCTCCGCTGACCTACGTACTGAGCAGCACATCTGCTCTATCTCTGCATGCAGAACAGCACACCGCCCCCTTCAGACGAAGCTCGGCCTCGTGCTGCAAAAACAAAGACAGGTGCTCAAGGCCAAAGCTTCTCCTTTTTTCCTCAACAGCTCTGAAACACCAACCATACCTCAGCATCTGGCTGGGCAGCCTGGCTTGGGCTGTTCATCGCTTGCCAAGGAGACTGATTGACAGATTAGATCAGACACACCAATGATGGGCTGGGACATCTTGAAGCTCCATTTCAGGCCGCCTGCCGTTGCTGTTTGCAGCATTAATCCCCAGTGACAGAAGGCTCCCCAATATGCATAAACCAGCTGTGCTGCACTGCCAGTAGGACAACGTGTCATATGTGCTAAGGGAGCAGGAAGGGCTTCTAAGATGCCTTAGTGTATGCTAGGGCAAAATATCCCAGTAAGAAACTCTGCCACTGTTGTGGGAAAGGCTGAAATTGCTCACAGAAAGTTCAAAGTAGAATAGAGAAGCCCCAGGCTGGGGAAGGGAGAGCTGAAGCCTCCCTCAAGATGGCCTATATGTAACTCATCACAAAGCTTCCTATCAGGTGGAGATTTATAAAGCATTTTCCCACCACTAGGAGATCTCTAAATTCTGCAGAATGAATGCCAAAGAGCAGTGACAACATTAAGCCTTGATTGGGAAGGGTCACCTCCTGCACTGGCTGCATCGTGTCTGCAGCCATCCATCAGCCCTGCTGTTCGCTTGCTGGCTGAGGCGACAGCCCCCGCTTCTCCCTCTTCTCCCGCATTCCAGCGTGACCTCTGCCTGATCTCCACTTGAAATGCTCCGTCTGCAGCCCCTCTCCCTTCCCTGGTGGCACATATCCCCACTGCTCCTGCCACAAAGCTATGAATCATGATAGAATAATAAGCCCGTTTATGAGCTGCACACAAGCCCAAAGGACCGAAGAGCGGAATAAATCGCTACAAAGCTCTCTAAGCCGATTTATTCATTCAACAGGTTTGTGCTTTCACTCCAGCCTCCTCTAACCGGTGTCCAAACAACGTGCAGTGCAACAGGACAAACAGCAACCTTCTTTCAAGAGGTTCGTTACTTTTGTCTTTTCAAGATCAAGAGATGAACTGACTTGTAAAGGCTCTGAGTCCCAGCGTGACAGCTGAACGCATCACTGCTCTCCCCGAGTCTCAGGCTCGCAGTAAGGCCTGCAGCAGTGTGCAGTATGTCAATGAGCTGCTAACAGAGGTGGACGGCACACAGCTCCACCAGGGAGAGATACTGCCTAACCCCCAGGGTCCTCTTGTCCTCAGAATGGTGGACAAGGATTTAGTAATGGGCCTCTCTAGAGGTAGGAAGACTTTCACAGTTGAACACAGCTGTGTACTGACTGGTACAATCAGTATCAATAAATAAAAGGAGCTTTGCCCTTCACAACACTCTGTGCAGTTATCTGTTCTTCCAGATACCGCTGCAGCCATATGGCAGCTCAGAATCACTCCTCTTATCTCACAAAGAGGAAAATGAGGCAAGGCAGGCTGCAAACACTTTCCGAAGTTCGCCCTTCGGGGTAGAAGCATCCCACCATCACAGCGGCCATCGCAGAGGCTTCCTGATGTCAGTCAGGGCAACAAAACTGCAGGAGCACAAAGCCAGCTCCCTGTATGCATCACAGTCTCTGCCCCCACCATCAACTTGGACATGATAAACAGGACAGACATCCTAAAGGAGCACATCAACCCAGCAATGAGCTTTTGATTGCTGATGGTTGTGTATGCCCTTCTTTCCCACCTCCCAGACCTCGAGAAAAAGTGATGTGCCTTCTTCTTGGAGCCCCAAGAAAGGGGGCAGGCTGAAGCTGGGTGTTAGGAAAAGGTTCTTCAGTGAGGGGTGGCTGGGCATGGAGCAGGCCCCCCAGGAGAGGTGTCATGGCACCAAGCCTGTCAGAGCCTGAGAAGTGCTTGGACAATGATCTCTTTTTTGGGCTGTTCTATGTGGATCTAGGGGTTGGATTCGATCCTTGTGGGTACCTCCCAGCTCCAGCTGGTCTATGATTCTATGATATTTTGCCAGGCCTGTTATTCAGGCTTACCCATTGCCAGGCTTTTTAAGATGCTAGTAGGAAAGTTTTATTTCTTTAGTTTTTTCAACTTCTTCACATCTCACGTACAGAGAATTTGGAAGACATTCAGTCGTTCAGGATTTCCCATGTGAGCAGTCCCCTCAGAAATTGTACCCAACTACTCAAGCCGAGTTTCTCCGTTACGGCCACCCCAATAGAAAGAGTGACCTAGTCAAACACACACGACCTGGCAACTAGAGATCCTGGATCTGTCACTGTCTTCCCCTGAATTATCTGCCTGGTTTGGGTGACAAGGTTTTCTCATCTGTAAGAAGTAGGTAGCAATCACCCCTTAAATGTTCATCTGTTACTTAGATTACAGCACACCCACGGGGGTCATACCTGAGGCACGCAGGTAGAAGTGGAATTTTTAGGAAAAAAATAGCCCTCTATACTAATTCAACAACACAACCCACTGAACGCTCATGCTGGGACACAGGAGAGGGACAGGGTTGCATGACAGCATACACTGCTCTCCCAGAGCCCCTCTGTACTGCTAGGTGCTACACAAATGCAGAAGTTTCTCTTATAGATGCTTTGGGTAGGAAATATGAAGGAGAAGGAAACAGCTAAAAGAAAAAGACACAAGCAAAAACATCTATTAGCAAGTATCTTATTAAGTAACTGTAAATTGAAGGCACTACGGATGAGACATCAAGAGATCTCTCACAGCCCTTGCTGTTACTGTTTCACAGGGGCGAAAAGGAAGCCTTGAGGACGGTAAGTTGAGTCCTTGATTCATTAGTCCCTATAAAATCCCCAAAGCAGTACAGCCAGACAGAAAGCAGCAAATCAAACTGCAAGCAGCATCTCTCTGATCCGGGGTGGGGTTTACCCTTTGGGAGGCAGCTGACTACTTTCACTGATGTACTCTGCACCAAATCCACGAGATTTTCTGAAATCTCGCTGCACAACAGTTGGCTTTCCTACTGCGTTGCCCTCATGCTGAGAGTATCCCCAATTTATCTCCGTGGGGATGAAAGGAACTGGGAGGAAGGCATTCAGTTTGTGCTGAAATTAATCCCTCTTTGCTTTCAGAACAGCCCAGGAATCACTCAGCTGCATTTTCGTTCATGGCTAAATGCTGGTGGAGGGTGTAATATGTGGCTTAAAGGAACAGCTTGCTGTGAACACACAAACCGCCAGGCTCACGTTGCCTTTCTTTTGCAACACGACTCAAAGACACTGGGCTTTGAAGGGCTTTTACAAACCCCTTTCCTTTAGATAATTAAAAGCTG